ATGTATGCAGGAGCTATTACTTGTGATCAAACACAAGGTGGTTTGATCAAGTATTTCCCTATTTCGGTTGGGTTACATCAAGGATCAGCCTTAAGCCCACATCTTTTTGCTTAGTCATGGATGTTCTCACTAGACATTTGCAAGAGGATGTACCTTGGTGTATGCTTTTTGCTGATGATATTCTTCTTGTTGATAAGACTAAAGAGGGAGTTGAAGGTAAACTTGAATTTTGGAGGTCAACCTTAGAGTCTAAAGGTTTTCGCTTGAGTAGATCTAAAACAGAATATATGAAGTGTAATTTTAGTAGTAATAGACCTAGTGAGGGGATTGTGACTTTGGACGATCAAGTCATTAATAAAAGTACACGTTTTAGATATCTTGGATCTATTGTTCAGAGTGATGATGAAATAGATGGGGATATTATTAGCAGAATTCAAGTTGGATGGTTGAAGTGGAGGAATGCGTCGGGTTTATTATGTGATAGAATTGTACCCCTCAAACTTAAGGGGAAATTCTATTAGATGGTAGTGAGGCCTGCAATGCTTTATGGTGCCGAATGTTGGCCATTAAAAGAGAAGCATAATACTAAGTTAAGTGTGGCAGAGATTAGGATGCTCAGGTGGATGAGTGGCTTTACCCTTAGAGATAGGATACGAAATGAGCATATACGTGAAAAGGTTGGAGTAGCTCCAGTAGAAGATAAGATTAGAGAGAGTCGCCTTAGATGGTTTGGTCACATAAAACAGCGTCCTTCCAATGACCCGGTTAGGAGAGTTGAAGTATTAGGTGACCTTAGCCCTAATACTTTACTCAACAAGCGAAGATATCAGTGATTGGTTATGAAACTCAACTATTTATCTCATACCAAACTTGACATCACCTTCGTTGTTGGCATTGTTTAAAAAGTTAAACGAGGCAGACTCATCGAGGCGCTCCTCAATTTGAGGTGCAACCCAGGTGATTCGAGGCTTAAGCCTCGATGGTTCGAACAAGGCGTGCGCTCTTTTTTCACAAGGAGTGGTGCCTTAAGGCATATTGAGGCGCCACCTTAGTTTAGTTGTCATGTTTTAATACCCGCATGAGTGATTGAGTCGAGTATAAGGATTAGGGTAGGGCTTGCCTTCTTCGTGTGAGAACTAAGACGTTTTGAAAGAAAACTGCTTCGCCGCCTTCGACAGCCACATTCTTGTTGAAATTGGCGTTCTTTAAGGACCTTGTAATCATTTTTTAAATTAACACGTAGGCCCTAGCCCCCCCCCCCCCCCCCCCCCCCCCACACCACCCCCCCCGAAAAAAAAAAAGTTGAATTTGGCGCTGCTCGCAACGAAGGTAACAATTTAACTCCCTTTCGTGCATTATTGTAACTTCATTTTCTACGTGCTAAGTAGAGTTCCGCTTCGTGTAAAATCGGAACTCACAGCAAAGGTGACAATCTTTCTTCTTGTTCGTCATTTGCTTGCTCTTCGTCTTCTTCTTGCCTGCTGCAGTGAAGGTAATATTCTTTCCTCTTGTTTGTCTATTGCTTTGGCTTCTTCTAGTCGAATCTCGCCTGCTACAACAAAGGTAACATTCTTTTCTCTTTTTTGTCTATTGCTTTGGCTTCGCCTTCTCGTGCCTGCTTCAAAGATAATTTTGATCTATTATTTAGTTTCAGCGTGCAATTTCGACTTAATAGGAACTGTTCTGCGTAACGGCAAATACACGCTTTTGGTTCAAAGCTGATTTGAAATTGCTTGTTGACTAATGATAAGTATATGTTTTTTGGTGCTGAAGTTTTTTTTAATTCTTCATCAAATTGTAGTAGTCTAGAAAATTTATGCGTAACTGCAAATTTTGACTAATGATAAGTAATAGACTAATAGTTTCTGTTTGATTATAACCCAAGATTCTATTATTGATCACTAATTAATTTTAGTCATATGAATTTTTTTTGTATAATTTTTTTTTGGAAATTTAATTTTCATTCATTAAATATTATCAAATAATTATTCCTGAGATCAAATTCATTCTTACTTTTATTTAATATTTTGTCATTTTTGTGAATTATTTATAATTTTTTCAATACTTAATTTTTTCATTTTGAGGCTTAGGCCTCGCCACACTTAGTTAAAATGTCTCGATTCCTAATTTTGCCTTTTTGAACATTGATTGTTGCCAAGATAACTTTGTTCATGCATGAGCCTAATGAAGATTGATGAGTGTTGTCACAAGGATACTCAAGTTACGTGCAAGGATACCCAAGATGGGGTCCATTTTTTATGAGCTTGGAGTACAGAACAATAGAAGTCTGTGAAAATGTCAATTGGGTGGGCTCTATAGTTAGTTCATGATCCATCTCCTGCATCCATTTTTTTTTTCCTCTGTTCATCCAAAGCGACTGTATCCTCATATCACCTTTAAAGAAGTAGAAGTCCTTTGAAGAAAAAATTATGATTATTTAGCTTTGTGGTAGTGATTGAAGATGGGTTCTTATAAGTAATTGAAAAGTTTGCAATGGGTGAGCTTGTAGGGATGAATTGAGAGGCTTGAAGAAACCTTTGAACGGACATCCTTGCGCTCACCATATATAGTTATTATGTATATTTTCCTGTCTCGAAGATCAACCATAAGCATGAGATGAGAATAACAAAGAGGAGAGAAACACACTGTAAAATAAAGAATTCTATCATACAGGTCTATCACATGTTATTATACAATGCATAAGGCAGATTTTGGGATGTAATAAAAGCTAACTAACAAAAGTAAGCTAGGTTAATTATGTTACTATTGTTGTTGGAGTGAGACACATGGTTGTTTTTGCTTTTTTTTTTTTATCCATTCATTGAATCTTACAAGTGCAAATACGGATATCTAGCTGGGCACATAAAACCACATTTTCCTTATAAGCAATAGTTGTTTTAATCAAGATTCTACACTTCTTTGGAAGCTTGTTGAACCAATATAAAAGCTGAGAGGAAGTACAATATGGCAATTGAAGTGGAATCCATAATATCAAGAAAGATAGCTGTGAAAGAGGGCATCAATAATAGCATCCACAACAATTGAGCTAACTTAAGTTCGACTCGTTACACCCATATTTTTTATTATTGATAATTACAAACTTTATATTGATATGAATACCAGCTATGTACAGTTTTAAACCTGGTGATACAGTCATGGTGTATTTAAAATTTGATAGGCTTCTATTAAGATCCTTCAAGAAATTAAATGCTAGAAAAGCAGAGCCATTTAAAATTTTGTTGCACTTCAAAAATAATGCCCAGATATTGGACATTCTAGAGAAACTTATTATTAATGTTATTTTATTGTGTCTAATTTAATATTATATCACGATCATGTTATACATTCTTTGGATTCTTCTGTCTTTTCACCTCATGTTTGTTGGTGAGATAGATATGTTTGTGATGGGTTATGGATTATTTTGCAAAAAGTACATTTAATTTACTCATGCTAAATTAAGAGCTAAATTTGTCTTAGACTTATTATTTGATGAACATTTGTGTATTTATTCTCGTTCGTAGCATTACATTAAGCAATGATTTGTGCAATATTTGTTTCTTTTCATTAGTTGGCTTATTTTTTACTTTATGTAATTTCAATACATAGGGATATGCTTGTAACGATGGTCGAGATATGATATATTTTCTATTTCTTAGTGTTAGGTTGGTCTATCTGTCTTGTCATGGGATCAATTGATTTGGTACTTGGATATGATCAAGTTCAAGATCTATGAATGAATATCAAATATTCAAGTTGGAGTTGAATTTTTTTAAGCTTAAAAGAATGATGGGTAATCACCCTCGCCTCGCTTATTATTCCAACGATTATAGGAGCTTCATTCTTCTGCTAGTGTTATCTATTTGTTTGTTGTAGGTGCAGGATATCTTGCACTATTCATATCTCGGTTATTATAACCATTCCGATTATGTTTACTTGACTTAATTTGGCGTGTTCAAACTCTAATGGATAAGAAGCATATGCGATTTAAAATTGAGGTTGAAGTTTATCTTATCTTTTGGATTTAACTTACATTTGAATTAAGTTGATTCTGTCTACTATTAAGGATTATTCTCTAAATGGATGTTCCAAGGCATGTACTTACGTAGCTTTGGTTGAATAAAATCTTTCATTCTAATTTCCAATCTTATGTGTATAAGCTGTTTGCGTGATTCTGATTTATTTGAGTACAATATATATGTAAGTTGTATGGAAATCATTTTCATGTACCGAAATGAGTGGCATGAATTCGTATTTTGGCTAATTCTTTCTTTAATCTAATTTCTTCTATATATTTTTGTTGATGTACTAGTTATTCTCATTTTGTTCAAAATTGTCATAGCTGAGAATCTATTTGTAGTGATGAAATTATAATTGCTTGATAATTTACGTGCTTCAAAAGTTTTACTCATTTCTTTGGACTTATTTGACGATTATGTTGTTGTTTGAGTTTTGATTCTGCTATTTACTATTTACATTTAAAGAAAGCAAGAAGTTGAATTATTTAGTTGTCTTTGATCTGTGAATCCTATTTTTTTTTTTTTTTTATGATTTACATACATCACGTCATCTAGTACCACTAAGAATCTCTAACCCTCTCTCTCTCTCTCTCTATATATATATATATATATATATATATATATAAAGAAGAATATGAGTTTTAATGCTTATAAACTTTTCATCCTTTATTAAAAATTTTGTATGGTTGAGATTTTAAGTAGCCAAAAGCTAAGTTTGATTAATTTGACAGTACGACTGCTTGATAGCAATTTTAAATCTCAATTATTTAATCTTTTTTATGAATGGTGGAAGATGTGTGGAGATAGATGCTCTTATCCTTCTAAAAAATTTATATATATACAAATATAATTATACATGATTTATTCTTAGTTTGCTATAAACCTAAAGGACTTTAAAGAATGGTTTTCTTTTAGTAAGTGCATAAGCTTAATTCAGTTACTACATGCTTCTACAATTTTCAAACATTTTTCTTTTTCTGTCAGGACTTCCTTCACAGGATCATTCCCCAACTGTATTGAGAACAAAGCGTAACAGTTTGTCATTGGTGATTTTACTCAACCCATTTGTTGTGTTGCCTTTTTAATGATGTTATATATCTTCATCACTTATATGTGATATTTCAGGGAGATGGCATGTATTCTGATTTGAGAGGGTACCCCCGTGCTCGTTTGAACAGCAATTTTGGAATTTCAGGCTCAAGGTTTCATTTTTCTACATAATAAAGTTTTTCGTTATTTGAATGTGTATTCTTTTTTGATGGAGCAGTTTCAAAATTACTTGGAGAGGGTTTTAAAATGGAGAGAATTTGGGTTAGGTTGAATTTCCTATCTACTGATTGGATTTGCTTTCAGATGTGTGTACTATAACAGTTTGATCAATGATTTATTGCTCTTTTTTCAATGCCCATCCAATGGTTAGAAAACCCATTATGACCATATTAAATTGCTGACCCAAAAATTTTCCATTTTTGAAATTATTCTTTTTCGCTTGTACTTATTGGCGCCTGCATTTGTAATTGGCTACGTGATTACTATTTCTTTTGTGCTTATCACGTTTGTTTTTTCGGTTATGCTATTCTTCTGTAATGTATATGCATGTGTTGCATTCTTTTCATTTTCTTTTGCTTCCATTTCCGTTTATATGCTCCTCCATTATGATCATTAACTTTATCCCATTTAAATTATGCTACCATACGCATCTTCTCTACCCTGAAGAGTTTCTTTTTCTTGCTTTTGAATTTTTTGATCTTTTGATGTTATTTCATGCAGAAGTTTGATAGGTAACACATGCAAAAATTATGACTATCAAATATGGGGTACGGGTCGGGTTCGGGTCCAACCCGACACTACTTGACTCGACCCAAACCCGACCCATTTTTTCAAACGGGTCGATTTTTTAGACCCGAATCCAACCCGCGATGGGTTCAGGTCAACCCAACACGACCCGATATAATCAGATGTACAATAATATCAGGTTATAATTGCAAAAAATAGAAATCAATAAAATTTGAACTAATTGTTTCAGCAAATTTAAATAACTTATTTAGTTATTTACAACAAATTGAAATTTACCACATATGAGCTCATTTACAAATCACTTACAACTCAATTGCTCATTTCAAGTTCAAACTCAATTTGTTTACAAATCACTTACAACTCAATTGCTCATTTCAATTACAAACTCAACTCAATTTATAAACAACAAAAGAGTTTACAACAAATCTTAATTTGGAAACAATAAATTATACTGCTATGATTTGATGAAATGCTCCTCAAAATAACTACTTCAATGACTTGTCTGGTTGTCTTCAATCATGATTCATGATATAAATTTAGCTGCAACAAAACCTGTTATATAGGTTGCAAACTTTAATATATTGCTCAAATTAAACCCTCCAAATCATTAATCACATAATGAGGTCATTGAGGTGTAAGTTTAATAAATATTAGCATATTATCATCCAAGATGACAATTTGTATTAACTTAATATATGTTCTTTCAATAAGATTGTATCTGCTTATTCTAAAAGAATACAAATGTCACCTGGTTGTAAATTGTAATAGCACTTACATTGATATGATTCTCACTTTCATTTTAGAAGGTTAAACATCACCGCTTCATAAAATCATATAGATAAATATATGAGAAAATGACAACATTCAGCAGGTTTCAGCAATACATCAACCGCTAGTCCCAAGGCTCAAATACTCAAAAAACAAAAATCAAATTATCAAAACAACCGATCATAAATGGTCAACTTATCAAAACACAGACCACAAATGATAAAATGAAGTAGTTAATGAGAATAAAATAGAAGAAAACCATAAGTACACTACGGAATTTCAGAACAACAGAAATAGAACTTCAGAAAATTAAGAAAAGCAGCAGCTGAACAGCAGAAACAGACAACAGAAGAAAACCCATCAGACGAATTATACAACAGAATTTGAACAACTTTACTGAACTAAAGAATAATTCTAACAACAAGTTCATGATTCAATAAATTAAAATACTAAATGATTCAACAAAATCAAATAACAAAACCCCAAGACTTCAAAGAAAACCCAATTCCTGGCTGCCTGCAAAGAAAAGTCTATGGCTCATACACTACCACCGGTCCAACTAATATTGGATAACTCCTAATTAGATGTCAAACTTCTCATGAATAAAATCTTTAACTTGAATCATCTAAGAACTTAACTTTCACCTGGTTATGCATCAGTTTGATTGACATATAAATCAAGGATATCATCTATAACAACATCAAGTTCTGGGTCATGAACTACTGCAAAAAAAAAGAGATTTGAGCTCAACTTCCAAATGTGCTAAGAACATAAATGGAATACATAAATAGGGGAAGGATGAACAATAAAGCACCATGTTCTGCATACAATCACTCATTTGAATAGACAAGTGCCTCAACAATGTCATGCTTCAGTGCATTGCGATATTGATCTAGTATTCTACCGCTATTGCTAAAAACACTTTCAGATGCCACTGTACTTATAGGAATATACAAAACTTAATGAGCCATAACAGATACAGCAGGAAATCTGTATTGATTGCTTTTCCAGAAATTTAAGATATCTAAATCAATCTTTGTGTCTAGGTTTGTCTCATCCAAATAAATTTCAAACTTTGATTTCCTAGGCATAACAACTTCCTCTTGTAATGACTCAAAGTCATGTGTGTGAAACTCATTAAAATTTACAAGTTAAATCAAGAACCATGAGTGAAGATATAAGTACTTCTGGATGTAATAGCTGAAGAAATTGTGAGATGTACTTCTTGATGTACCAACTTCTACCATTCGGGATGCACGTGAATGTTGCCCTACTAATCCATTACCTCCTGAACTATAGTTTGCAAATAAAGAGAACAACTTGTCTCTAACCTTTGTTAGTTCATAGAGGTAATCACCTTCATATAGTCTCCTATAGCACTAGTTAACAAAAGTAAATTTATATCGTGGATTTAAAATGATAACTATAGCCAATATAACACAAAATCCAGACCATTATTTCTTAAATTTGACAATCATTCATGCAACCATTCTTTTTATGTAATAATGTCCACTTAACAGTTCATGTTTCAACGATACATAAGCTTGTTGAAATGCAAGGAAAGTATAAATTTGTTGTTGGGTACTTCGAGCTAGATATAACACATGTTATCTCGTAGAAAGGAGTCAATAAAGTGCAAATAGATTCAATTTTCTCTCACTCAACATAACTTGGGCAATTCTTATAATTTGAATCACCCAATTCTAAATGCTGAAAACTCGTCGATAGTAGATATCATTATCTAGCATGTTGAAAGTGAAGTTCCATCTTGTCGGAACATCTTGGTGCAATCCTCTCTTTCCATCTATACAATTCTGTTTGATACAATCAAGAAACTTTTTTTTTTATTGCTTGAGAGCCTTTTACGTGCTTAATACTCTCGGATTTTTATTATTGAACCATCGATCTTCTTCAAACCCTCTTAAACTATGAGATTAACAATATGGGCTGTACAACAAATATGAAAGATCTCACCATCACAAAGCAAAGTACCACGTAAACATAAATGATTTCTTAGATATTCAACGAAGACATTATTTGCTGATGCATTATCCAAAGTAATGCTAAAAAGTTTAGAATCAGTTTTCACTTAATAATAAGAGACTGTAGCTTTTCAAACAATGTAATATCATTATGAGGGGGGCGGCATGAAACCAAAGCTAATTATCTTTTTTTTTTGCAAATGCCAATCATTATCTATAAAATGTATTGTTAAACAAATAAACTCATATATATTAATAGAAGTCCAAAGGTTCGATGTAAGCACACTCTGCTTGTAGATTTAGCTAATTGTGAATGTATATGACACCTCTCTTTATTAAATAATTTCTTACAATCACTTCGTGCAATATTCCTAGAAAACAACTGCAAGTCCCAATGAAGATACGCCAAAAGAGCTTGAACTCCTACCCACTCAATACACTGGAAGGGCAAGTCATGCATATTGATACATGCAGTAAACAAGTCACACAATTCTAACAGATCAAACTTACCATCAGTCACAGAAATGGATGATTCAGAGTTTGTTTGTAAAATGAATTGTCCAATATCACACATTTCTTTTCTTACAATTTTTTAAGTGGCGTCTTAGATTATCAGTGCCATTTTTGCTATCATATAATTATGTCACTCCACATTTCTTGCATTTACATATTTGCTTACCATCTTTTGGATTAGACAACATCTCAAAGTAATCCCAAACAACCGAAGTCATTTTTCTCCGCTTCTTAGCAACTTCTCCTCCCTCGTTATATTCATTGTTACATGGCTCTACTACATTTTCAGATTGTCCAACTTGTTCATTTTCATCAAAACAAAAATTCTTAGAAATGACATTAAAGTCCCCCATCTATAAAAAATATTAGAAAACATCACAATGAAAAAATTTAAATATTTCTTGCATGTCAAATTGGAACAAAAAGACAAACTAAAGATTGAAATTACTCATATGAAGTGAACTAAAACAGATTTTTCAGCTAACAACGGAGCATCTTAAAGAGCTAAATGCAAATATTTGACATATTGATTCATCATTTCAATGCCATGTTTCCAACCAAACATGTATAACATTATAAGTATAACGGTATAAAGGGAAAAATGTAGAAAGGAAATAAGTCAATAATCAAATAACTATTAATAGAAAATAATCAACTAATAAGAAGTTGTAAACCTGTAATGCAAAAAATAACCAAATAACTATCAAGAACTACAATAACCAAGTAATCGACTAACCAGTCAATGAGTCGATAACAAACAAACCAGTCAATAACCAAATAAAAAATGGGAAAAAATGATGCTCTAACTACTTCAATGCTTATGCAAAATGACCTAAGCAGTGACGACAATAACAAAATTTTAGAACCCTAGCCGACAACAACCTAATTGCTTCAGTGCTTATCATAGTTGTCAATGACGCAAAATAGCGCGCGGCGCGGCGCACCTATGATGCCATGTTCATGGCGAGGCGCATGTGCTTAAAATAGCGCGCGCTATTTGCGCCACATGCGAGTCATTGCACATGGTGCACGGCGCAAAATAGCGCGCCGAATTATTTTTAAATTTCATTATACTTATGAATAATTTTTACAAGAATTTACAACTTAACAGGTATGATTCTTATTGGTTGCTACTTGAAGTG